GCTGGATAGCTTTTTCAAAGCAGAAGGGCGGGCTACAAAGCGATAAATGCTGCTGGTACAAAATGGGTGAACTTGAGTACAAAGTACATAAATAGTAGCAAAGATGACTAACAAATCAACATTAGACTAGAACGCAAAGCGCACTTCTGACGCTATACAAATCAGCATACTAGCATAAAATCAACAGAGTGAGTTAAACTTCATATACACGCCTGGTAGATAGGCAACCCATTAATCTCATAATACGCCGAGAGGGTATGCAACCCAACTGGTCCGCGGACGATACGTCAAAGAACTCAATAGCGCAAAACAAATCCCTAAAGGACAAAAAGCTCAAGTGCAGTGGGGAGCGGACAGGAGCCAGCCGGGCCCGCCGCAATCTACGACGAGCAAGGACCTCGCTAACGCCCTGCCCTCCCACACTCACTGATAAGAGCCAGCGCAAAAGTCACAAATCGAAACGTTATCGCCGCGGAACCAAAAAGATGAAAGATGTCGACAGACAACAGAACACTCATACAGAGGTACAAAACACTTACACGTGTTTAGCGATGCGGCGATGGAGAGGAGAGCTTCACAACAAAACAAGCCGACCCGGCCCCAGCGGGGCGGGCGGCAAAGATCGACAAACGTCAGACTGCTTGTGACTTCACGGGGCGGACCGCCGGTGAGAATGAGAACCTAGTTCTACATCGGTTGACTCAAAGCGAACACGCCATCACGGCGAATAATCTCATAGGGAAATAGACCCGAAGGCACACACCGTCATAAGACGGGAAACTTAGACCCTGCAAGGAAACGACTACATTAGCACACGGATGTCTCACTATTTAGTTAAACCCGGTATGGCAGACCGCACTCACCAAGCACTATGTGCGGGTAGCGCACAGATGTAAACTAAAACCATAGCAGGTGCTTGGGTCGGGTCGCCGAGGCAGACCCTCTCTCGCCGCTGCAGCTCGCTGAGTGACCGAGGTCCAGCGTCCTGCCGCTGTCCCCCGCTCGCCTCGGCTCGCCTCACTCGCTCTCGCTCGCACCCATTGGCCCGGCCGGTCAGCTGACCCCATCGTCTGCTAGACCGCCCGCACCTGAGCTGGCGCTCAGGCGATCAAGGCGGCAAAGATCGAAAAGTGACGCGCGTTTGAAATTAAAAGGAAAGGCTGCGGCCACAACCCCTCTACCAGGGGCGGGACCGGCCAACTAAGGCAAACCCCGATCCCCTCGAAATTCCGCGCGTCACAAACTCGATCTGTCTTTTTATGATACAAAACGACCCTGAAATTCCCAGACCGCTATCTCAATTCCTGCTCGAGTTATCGTGCGGACAGACAAACAAACACACAAACAGAATGAAACTTTTCGGGTCAGTGGAGTAATGGGCTTCGCTAATCGCTCAGCCAATGACGAATCAAAGGAGAAGAAAGCAGTAATTCACTTCTAATGATTGTACATTTTACCAAAAAGTTTGTAACAACAGAGAAAGATTTGTGCAACAGCAAGAAAAGATGGAATTCTAAAGAAAAATAACACAGAAACTATGCGAACTTTACATTCTTGAACAAAGAACACAATAAAGGAATCTGACAGCAGACATCTCAAGGATGATTCCCGGCATATTGACCCTTAAAATTCTGCGCCTGTAAGGCAAAAGATCAGAAAATTGCGTTAGAGGGGACATAATGGAAAACAAGTTTGGAGGTGATAAAACAAAGGTTTGCATTGTCAGGTGTACAGACAACTGGGAATACACAGTACTTACAGTGATGATTCGTAGTAAGTCCATGGAGTGTCATTCACCATGTGTGAAGGAGTGAGGTACATCGTACTTGACCGTACTGCACCACTGTGACCCGAAGAAATCAAACACAACATTAACTTGAACGTGTTAATGCTCTTAAAGCAAGGAAATAGGATCATGATGTTTGTACCTCCATAGCCTCGCTAGATTGGGATATATTAATATCAGTGGCAGCAAAATGACGGGAGACCAAAAACTCAACTCAGAAAACGTCGAAGCCTGATGAAATACAGTACAATTTAGAATAACTATCAAAGAAACGTACGTAACTAAAATAGAAACTGAGAAATACAACGCACCTTGATAGATGTCCAAGTGCGAGGGCTTCCCTAATACAGGGCACATCGTTTGCCTCCAGTGATAACAATGGACGGAAGACTCACGCGTGGAAATTAAAGCATGACCCATGACTTAAAATATTTGAACGAAAATAATGAGAAGTAATGTAAAATGAAAGTAATTTTCACACATGCTTGTCCACGAGCGCGGTGTCACGGTCGTCGGGGTATGGGTGGCCGGGCGCGGGCGGACGCGGGTGCGGCGAGCGGCCGGGGAGCCGGCAGAACGCGGAGACTCGGCAACGTCGCAGACTTAACCCATACCTGCCTGGTGCTTTGTTCGTATGAAAAAACAAGTTGCAAGGTGTACCAAATGAATTTGCTACATAATTAATCTGCTAGTTCTTTACAGAATTTGTTTTGTGCTTGCTAGGGCACGTTATTTTTGGTTTTGTGCATATAGCGCCTGCAAAGCAGTAGGTAGGCAATCCCGCCATGCAGTCGTGTCACACTGGTGGTGGTACGCGATACTGGATACTGGCCAGCGTGTGCAAGCACCGTGGTTGCCATTGTCAACACGGTCATCCCTGCCCCAGCTGTTGCCGTCCCGTCATGGCAGCAAATGATGAATTTCTTGGTGAACTACTCACATGTGCATAAGTGTGAGGAGGATCTAGAAGCTGGGATCTTCGAAGCCATGGCCATAGTTGGAGCCACCTGGGAATTGGCACCCGATGTTCCGCATGCCATGGCCGACACTCCCTATCTGCCTGCAGCCGCCTACGAGGGGCATGTGTTGATTGACCAACAAGATCCCATGCTCCAGCGAGAGAGGGATCCAGTCCCCGCCCACCCTCAAGCAGCTTATGGGGCTGAACGTTACACTGATCTTGAGAACCCCGTACCTGTATTGGTGCGTGCAGTAGCACACATGCCAACCCAAGAGTTTCTGGCAACTGTGGTGGTCCCCATGCCTGGTGACATAGGGGTGTTCCAGCACCTACTCGGCGCGCGTAAAGACGGCAAGCCTGCTATCCGTGTGCGCATCACTGCTATCATCTCTGCAAATGTCAGTTTTGATTACGTCTGCAGGGGTTCTGCTTCTGGGGTTTAAAGTGGCGGTGAAGTCTTCTTGCCAGACAGTGCACTGCAAAAAAATTGTCCCCGGATTCAATGAAACTTTTTTAGCATGTGGCAATTTACTTTTGGTTTATGCCTAGCGTCCTAGGTGGCCCCATTCCTGGGGCAAAAAGTCTGTTTTCTCGCTTTTGAAAAATAAGGAGAAATGTAAGTAGGGATGGGGAGTTGGCTGGAACTTGTGAGTTGGGACAAGCATCTATGAGAGGTGCTTGACGTTGCCCTGACCATGCGGTTCGTCGGCAAGCCCCGTCCCCGCAACGCCGCCGTCCAAGTGCTGCGCGCCTCGAAGCAAAAGCAGTCCCTCCGAGATTTCGGACTCCACGTCGGCCAGGTCTGCAGGAGGCCTACAGGGACGACCCCTCGATTGGCACCAGCACTGCTGCCCTCGAGCGCCTCGTCCTCGACAACTTCTTGGCTGGCATCTCTGATCCGGCCACTCAGCGCCTCCTGGGCATGTCAAAGCCCGCCACGCTCGCCGACGCCCTCGTCGTGGCTAGCGAGCTAGAGGACGCCGTCGAGGAACCCCCCGCACTGTTGAAAATCCTGTACCAAAAGTAAAGAAACAGTACAGGATTCCGTACAGGATGAGGTACAGGACACCCGTACTGAGCTACTGTAGAGCCCTTAAGGCTCCATGTTAACTAGCTATATGTACGCCAGACCACGTCTCGCGTAACAGGCTTCGCGATATCTCACGAAACACTGTTACGCTGCGACGCGCCTGGCGCACATATAGCTAGGCCTGCGGCGCTGACACCAGAGACGGGGTAATAGGAGTGTATGTACAATTTTTCGAAATGAAGTCTTTTTAACGATTTAATCGACTATTTGACCATTTGATCATTTTCACCTCATTTTTGTCAAGAAATGCCCCCTAGCACCTAAACGGTACAAGATAGAGCCAAACGGACGAAATTTTCGCCCAAAGGGCTCTACTTTGACGGTTTACCTCTAAGAAACCCATAAAAAAATATTTGATAAAAATACATTTTGCGACCTGTAGTTTTTGATTTTTTGAAAGGCCAATTTTTGAGCTAGAATGCTCATCTTCGAACTCGATCTGTCTTGTTATGATACAAAACGACCCTGAAATTCCCAGATCGATATCTCAATTCTTTCTCGAGTTATCGTGCGGACAGACGGACAAACAGACAAACAGAATGAAACTTTTCCGGTCAGTGGAGTAATGGGCTTCGCTAATCGCTCAGCCAAAAATTCCTGTACTCTGTACCCAAAACGCCGTACTTGGCAAAGTACAGGAAGACCGTGAAACAAGTTGACCAATAAAGTACTGTTCAACTTCTGTGCTTTTTTCAAACAGTGCGCCAAGCGGGTGAGGCAAGTCGACGTGGCCTCAGAGTGCCCCCTCCACTGCATACGGCTCGGCCGAAGCCCCCATAAAGCGTAAAGCGTGTCCTCAAAGCTTTGTGTGGCCTGCCTGCTGCCATCCGGGCCGCCGTGGAGAAGCCAGCCACCACGTCGTCGTCGCTGTCTCCGGCAAGTGGCTCGTTTACCAGATGAGCTTAGTGAAGTAGAGGTTCGGTTTTTGTCGGCGGCGTTTGGGTCCCGTCTACTTCACCAAGCTTACCAGATGGGGTCGCGGTGCTGCACAGGGCGGTACGGAAATGAAGTGGACCGTCGACGGACGGGCAATTTGCTGGCGGTGCTCTGAACCAGGCTACATGGGGCGCAACTGCCCCAAACGACCTGACGGTGGCCGTGACGACCGCAGCCGCGGAGAACGCCATGGGGGAAACGGCAACCAGCCACGTCGCTAGGGGAGGCACGCGACCTGCAGACGACCGCTCTCCCGCACCCGGCGGCTATCTTGGCCCAAAAACCAGGGTCAGGACTCGGATTTTGCTCATCGATGGTTTTTCTGGAAGACAAAACGATGCTGGTTACGGTGCACCTTGTCCGGGCGCTCTGCGGTGTCGGGAACCCACCGCGCATCGGCGTTAAAGATTTGGGCCCGAGCGGGGCAGCGGCGCACGGACGTCTGTAGCGGCGGCGGCGCGCGGCGCAGGCGAGTCATATTCACATCAAATGTAACATAGGGGGCCCTCTTTCGAACACCACCTGTCCGGTGGCCGTGCGCTGTGTCGTTTGACCTGGCGAGCGCGTTACATTCCCCCGGGGGAGTTAGACCCTACGGAGACCAGCGTTCATATTTTCGAGGTGCGCGCAGCGCAGAACTCTTTCTAAGCGTCCTATACATCGACCCGAACCGCCAAAATTATTTAGACCCACCGGCAACACACCAAAAACCGGGATGTTGTGCCTGCGCGCTAGCGGGCGGCGCTCGGCGACTGTTTGAATGGCGTGCGCCGCCTGGCCCGGCCGATTGGTGGAGGGAGTCCTCCCCGCCTGTCACGGTCGGCCTGTGTTGACGCGAAGCACGCGCGATTCAAACGGCGCGTGGTGCGCGGTGCGCTAGGAAATTGAATGACGGACGCCGAATCGGTCTCTCATTGCGTCCGTGGATTTTTTAAAATGAATGGGTGAGTTTCTAATCTATAGACAAATGTCGAACACAACAGGGGGACTATTTAATCTCAGATTTTATTCGGTCAATCACACCACTGACTGTGAGGTGTCTTGAGGTCTCGTCCATCATAAGTTTACGGCATACCTGTGGGTAGAAAATTTTGATATAAAATAATGAAGTTGCCTAGTACAT